GCAATTCTATGAGATGTGTGTGTCATGTGAAATCTTTACTACTTTATCATTTTATTGACCAAAAAAGAGAAAAACAATAAGGTTTTTTTTCTTTTTTGGGGGTAGTCATTTTTGTATCATCCTGATGATTTCAAAACACCAGGACCCCGTCTTACAAAGAGCTGCGATTGAACCAAATCAATCGCAAGTCTGATTATCAATCACAAGTTTGCATACCTCCATCTCTTATGTACATAGCTGTGATTGATATAAGTTGCGATTGATATCGACTCTTTATATCAAAGATTGGGTCCAGAACATACAATGATCCTTATACCCATAACTTCTGGACAATATTTTATTCACAGTGCAATGGCATATGTTTAATATTCAACTTTATCTTTAAAGCCTATCTGCACTAGTTTGGCCAGGGGGGATTAGAACCCCTGCAAGGTCTCTGACAGGTGGTTATCTCATCAAAACAGTTCTCAATTAACACAAGAAAAAGGGGATCATGGGGGACCAACAGGCCCCGATTAGGCATTGTCTGCTATGCAGAGGGCGTAAGTAGCTATAACTAGTGCAGTGGGGCTTTAAATGAAGTTGTAAGTCCTCAAGACTCTATCGCTCATACCTGGACCACTGGATAAATGTGAATAAAGTCCAGACCCTGGATCTGATGAGGCTCAATGCGATGAGGGCACTTCATCCTCGGAAGAACAGCTACAATCTTTTCCGTAAGGGCACTGGAGAATTAAAATATCAACAACAGAATCCTAGATTGACTAATCTCTACATAACACGAAGATGGGAGCAAGGGCCTCCTGTGTCACCAGCCTCCCCCCCCCCCCCCCCCCAGAACAAAAGTAGAAATACAAAATTAGAATAGACTATTAACAAATAAATGACAATGTGGGGAATTATAACAAGTCATGTACTTATGGCACAAACCCATGCTTGTCAAATGTATAATTTATATTGGGAAAGAAGACAAAAGAAAACAAATGAATAAATAATAATAATAAGTTTGAATTGGAACATATTACGGGATTTAGAATTTTTAATATTTTAGGTAAATTATTCCATTATAAATGCACAAATCACCAAGGTGTACATTACAGTGCTCAACTTTAATAGAATTTTATTTCAAAGAATTAACATCAAAATAGTCAACCTCGACTCTCTATATTTTGCTTATTTTGAAAATGAGGTGTCCATAAACAAATCAGTACTATTGAGGCAAATATTTCTTACATTTTCTGGCCAATGGTGGAGTTTTCTTGGAAGAGTAGATCGACGTCGATATCAAAATTGCATGTCGTGATACACCATGTCATACCCCCAACAACCTAATGGCAAAGTAGAAATGAAACAGAATCAACAATTTACAAAATGATATGATTTCATGTGCAGTACTTTGTTTACATTTGTATCAACACTTATGTGGCCACATTCGTATTTATTTTCATTACAGCTGTATTTACAAGCAGTAAGTTTGGTACTATTTTTGTTTTTTGATACTAGTTCTGGGACCTGTTTCACAAAGCTTTTTTCAATGACAAATGACGAAAATCGGTGACAAATCTGTTGATAACCAATCAGAAGCAAGGATTTCAGTAGCTTATAACAAAAACTGCCATTTGTCACTGATGACAAGTTTTGTGAAACACCCCCCTGATGTACTCAAACCCCCAAAGATTGCACTCAGGACCCCATATACTGTTATAGAGTAGTTTGACATGAACCCCTACTATTTTTTTTCCATCAGTGATCTTTACAAACAGGTATCACAATATTTACCTTATCGAATGGAGAGAGGCCTTTGATCCTGGCCCTGAAGTAACCCGCAGCAACAAGCAGCTCAATGGTTTCTCCTAGCTTGACATTCTGTTCCTCGTCTTCTCTTGTTTCAACCTGCAACATGTAAAGTAACAAAAATGTCAATTTTTCTCTGGCTTTATTATTCTTATATTGGCTTTATCTTTACCCAAGATTCTGGAAGAGTGCTGTGTTCTCAGCAGTCAGGCTTCCAGTTCCAGTTTTTGAATTCATCCGACCTTCCTGTAGTTAGGTGTCTTGGCAAGTAACCTGGCTCAGCTGTTGGTTTAATATGTACTTTCTTTCTTGTTATGGAGGCAGCTACATGATATTAGCTTAAACTTAATTTGTTGAGGGTAACAGTACCATAACAATTCATGTAGAACCTTTTCCAGGCAGATGTTTCTGTTGTTTTGATCACACCAGTTAGAAGTAGTCGTTAAAATGTATATCGACCACTAGGAGCTCACATAAATACCTCTAATGGTTATTTGGAAGAACTTCTGATATTTCCAATTGTACGCGTCTGCAATCACTTCGACCAATAAAATGAGTCACAAAAAACTGGTCCATATTGCACAGATACAAAATATGGACTTTTTCTGTGTCCGTGATAAGGACCGATTATTTGGTGGTATATTAGCTAGCAGTAGCACTATGACTTTATAATGACTTGGTTTTTAGGAAAAATACTCCAAAAGAGAAAAGAAAATTGACACAAAACAGGTAAGAAACGTAGATCTAGAGTCTAGTCTAACAATTGATGAAGATTTAGTTGATTTTTGGTATGTCCACACCAGAGTAACAGATCAAAAATGGATACGAAAGTACACTAGCGCAATGACCGAGAAATGCACACAATCATAAATGAATACAAATGTCACTTGTCCAGATTGACAATAGATTTCCGATTCCGATTAAAGTTTTCTAGGTAAGTATTTTTTCCATCATCCATCCGTGGGTTAAATGATGTGTGGATTGTATTTTACTGCTTTAGGAATTAGGTTTTATAATCAATTGCCATTTGAGTGCTGATTTAAGTCAATTCTGATGCAGCCAAGAAGATAAAGATAGGATTTAATATTGACAATTTAAGATAGTCTATGGGGGAAATTACTTTCATCAATACAAGCGTGTGGGACTGTATGCAGTTCTTGCAACAACAAATAAGCCATTTTCAATGACCTCAATACAAATGAAATACACATTTATGGTCCAAAATATAAAGTTTTTGATTACCTCTACTTCATTGCCATCAGCATCGTATAAAGCACTCTTCTTAGAGCCACTTCGAGGCCTGGATGGTCTTCGGAATACGCTAGTCGTCGCCATTTTATTTCAAGGATGAAGGAACTGCCCACTTCCGGAGGTCTCGTGCTTGCATCGCGTCTCGCTCATCAAATTGATTTTGCAAATATTTCTGTCTGTCATTTTTTGTTTCTTCCTTTCTTTTTTTCTCCCTTTTTTTCCCCCTTTCTATCTTTCTATACGTTTTTTTTCTTTCTTTCTTTCTTTCTTTCTTCCTTCCTTCCTTCCTTCCTTCCCTCTTTTTTATTTTCTATATAGATCTATATCTTCCTATCATTTTTTTTAAAGTCATGTCTTTAATTACCAAGTGTAATATCTGTACAAGAGGGAGGGGGGGTGTTAAACCTTCCAGGGGTATAACAATAATAAATACTAATAAGAAAAATTTATATAGCACTTGTGACATAACAGTTTCAAAGTGCATATGTATACAAGTCACGATTACTTCAAGAAAAATCAATATTACTAATTAATTAATATTACCAACATAACTTAACAAATTAACATTACTTGAATTATATAGTAAGAATATCAAACATTGCTTACATTACTAAAGAAATTAACATAACATGTAAATTCCTTGGAAAGTTAAGATGTCATATCATTATATTAATAATAGCAACAATTTAGACATAATGAGGGCATTGTAATACTAATTCACGTCTCACATACCCGTCATATTCGTTCTTCCTTTTCCCCCTTTCTTTTTTCTTTCTTTCTTTCTACCTTCATTCCTTCTTCATTCTTTCCTTTCTTTTTTTCTTCCTTCCTTCCTTCCTTCTTTCTTTCATTCTATCTATCTTTCAAATGTCGTTTATACTTGAATTTTTAATTACCAGCCTTCTTATTTGATCATTGGTCTATACAATCCTGGACGTGAGAGCAACTTTTTTTTTCCATTTTACTTATAAATGCATCAATGAAAGAGAGAAGGGGTGTGTTAATATGACGGTATCATCTGTATTTTCTATCAGTCTTCTATAGATACAATTTTTACCGGAAAAGGTGTTCTGTTTCACCCCCTTGAAAAAAACGTTCTTACACCCCCCCCCCCCCCCCCCCCACATCCTCACTTGTCAGCCGGAAATTGTGGCTTGATTATTAGGCCAATACTAGTACTTCCACCCTCCCTATCATGCCCCCCCCCCCCTTTCTCTCTCTCTCTCTCTCTCTCTCTCTCTAGTGATATATCTCTCGTTCTCTCTCTCTCTCTCTCCCACACACATACACACTCTCTTTCTCTCTCTCTCTCTCTCTCTCTCTCTCTCTCTCTCTCTCTCTCTCTCTCTTCCTTTCTCAGTTTCCCATAATCCAGCTAGGTAGGGGCCTCTACAGTTTTCTCTTTCGTGGAACACCTATATACTCCCTCTCCCTCATTTCTCTCTCTCTCTCTCTCTCTCTCTCTCTCTCTCTCTTCTCTTCTTCCCCCTCTCTCTCTTTCCTTCTCCCTCCCTCTCCATCTCTCTTTCTCTCTTGTTCTATTTATCTCTCAATTTCTATTATCTCCTTAACTGTATCTTTCTGTCTCTGTACACTTCTTTTTTCTCTATCTCACCCTTTCTCTCTCTCTCTCTCTCTCTCTCTCTCTCTCTTACAATTTACCTCTCGCTTATACTCAAGAAAATAAGTAAATGATTTAGTCTGAGGCATGTATGCACATTTTTAACAATCAACGATCAAGAAAAATATAATTAGTATGAAATTTGTACAAATCAAGTTCGCAAACCGTGACGGAGATGATGCATGCGTATAATACTCAAGGCACACAATCATGACAATCTTCAATAATTATATAACTCCATATAACAATCATGGCTTGATGAATACTCTTTAAGCAAAGCTGCTCCTGTATAGAGTTTGATGTTTGGGGAGAGGGGCACATTGTAATTGATCGACGTCCTGGGGAGGGGTCTAAAAAAGTTCAACTGGTCTTGGATTTTTTTTTTGGGGGGGACGTGCCCCCCCCCCCCCCCCACCCGTGGCTACGGGCCTGCCTCTATATACCTTCCTCTCAGTGCTATATACTTATATAAAAAGTATACACCTTTTATAATGCGATCACTTTAATGTACGTTCTCTTATACCTCTTCATATAGCACTGTCAATATTGTCAAAAATCAGTTTTATTCTTCTTGATGATCTTCTTTTCTGCAACCTTTCTTTCCTGTGCACCTCTAGGTTTCATCATCATCTTCGTTCGTCATCTTCTTCTTCTTCTCATACTTACTTTCTGTTTAGGCTACTACTTCTTTTTCGGTGACATCATTCATAAAAAAGAAACCAGCCCTCAAGTTTTCCCACTACAGAGTATTCCCGTGCCCATTCAGCCTATTTACAGGGTTAGAAATATATAGATTACTGTACAAGACGAAATACTTTTTTTACCATTGTGGACGGAATTAATACACAATAATATTAAAAACCATCGTGTGCATAATATCAAAGACAATGTTGAAGCAGAAGTCACATTTTCAAATTCACAAACACGGACAGAAAAGTTACGCAAAACACACTTTGTATAATTATAATATGTTACAAAGAAAACTTCAACCTTTTACGCTTACCGATAAACACTTTTAGTTCAGCCTTAATGTGAATTAATCTTCTAATTTTCACCCCGTATATTATCAAAGTAATACAAATATAATATAAGTAATACTTTTTTGATAACATTGTAATACAATCACGTATAAAGATAATTACTTTCTTACCACGCAAACTTAGTTCAATTTTGGTTGGACCTTTACCATCTATTTTTTGTATATTTTATTTCTGAAAAGTCGAGAATTTTTAAATTGTCTGATTGAAGTAACATTCATTTTCTTGTAAAAAAATAACTTTTCGGTGACAGCACAATATTTACGATATTTACAAGTCTAATTGTTACGTGCAAAACCGAAAATCCGAAATAATTTCTTTCATGGTCACGATGCGGTCATCATTTTTTCGGCGGGAGTTTTTTTATCCGTCAGAAAAAATTGACAAAATATACACAACCCTAAAACGAAATGTTCCTTCATTCGTGCCAACTCGAAATTCAAGCTTTTTATCCAAAACGTCGTTAGCCTTGTAGCCTTCTTAAAATGAACAAAATAATGGCAAACTAAATAATTTGAGCACCGAGTTAAGACAGCAAATAGAATATGAATATATGACGAAATAAACATCTTTAATTAATAATTGTATGCAATCTTTTAAACCAACATTTTCTTTTGACAACTGAAAAGCTTGCAAGAAGGTTGTCAGACATAGCTCATTGAAATGCATGTACTTGTTTACGTGTTTCAAAGGGATGTCTGTGAATCTGTACTTGTGATGGTTTCATGAAAGCCATTCGTATTGGAGAATGTCATCCAGATTGCAGTCACCTACTGCGACTGAGCACGCCAAGCGCAAGACTGGGTTTAGGTAGAGAATCATGCATGCATAAACATTCATTAGTAAACAGATTTATCTATTTAATCACATTTCTGCAGTATTTTTCCAGTATCATCTGATCATGAAGCTGTTTTGGAAACCTGTATGGGATGATGACCACAAATGACGATGTCTTGCAAACGGATTGCTTTAGTAGTAGGTCGTGTTCGTTGCGGTATGGCTTCCTGCAATATTTGAATATAATAGAGAGAGAGATAGAGAGTTGTTGTTATAGCAACGAATTATCTTAGTATGTGATTTCTCACGTAATGAAGTTTTGCAGTGAATATATTATCTTTTGATATAAAACTTTGAATCAAACACATTTTAGAGTGTGAGATGTGGCATATGTTGAGTCGTACATTAAAAATGATAACAAACTGAATGCGTGTTAAATCAATGATAATAATAATGGAAATAATAATAACAAAAATAGTGATAATAATACTACTTATATTAATAAACAAAACAATGATGATAATGATAATGATGATAACAATAATAATAGTAGTAATAAATAATAATAATGCTGATGATGATGATGAAGATAACAATTTTTTTCTTCTGCATTCGTAGTTCTAGCTTAAGTAATTATTTTTTCGCACCCTATTTTCCATTATAGAAGAAATAAAGTTTCCATTTTGCCGAGACGATCCCTTCACCACCCTCGCCCCCCCCCCCCCCGCCCATACCACCACTTTGTGAGCCGGTTCACCGTGCAAAATGTGAACGAGGCCTCCATGTATATATTACTTTTAGTACATTCTCGTCAGTGTGTAAAACACTTACCGCCATAGGTCGAGCTGGTGTGTGTAGTGGTTGTAGACTGCACTGTCGGGTGGAATGTAACAGGCTGGGTAGTCACCACCTAATATCAAAAACAAAACAAAACATTATGATAATTGACAATTAAATCTTCACTTTGTTCATATAATTTTCACCCATGTCAGATAATTATGTGAATGGTATATTGTGGGACTGATCTTGAGCCCGTGGCATATCTTTGAACAAATCTTCATTGATTTCAATTCATATGAGATATTTTTATATGATTTGATTTGATTTGATTTGATTTGATTTGGTTCGGTTTGGTTTGTTTTTAAGTGATTTCATTTGATCTGATTTGATTTTGATTTGAATTGATGTGTTTGTTTTTAATATGATTTAAACATTTGATGCGATTTCATTTGACTTGACTTTTCTTCATTTAATATGATTTGATTTTATTTGATATTTTTGTCGTTTTGAGGCGATTTAAATTCATTTTAAATGGTATGGTTTGATTTGATTTGATTTGATTTTACACGACATCAAATGACTTGACTTAATCTGACCTGATCTGTTTTGTTTGATTTGATTTGATTTGATTTTATCTGAGCTGTTTGCTTTGATTATGGATTGACTTGATTTGATATGATTTAATTTGCTCTGATCACACGCTTACCATAGTTGCTGGAGCGGCGCCCACGGAGCCGTTCATCCCCATGCAGGCGTACACGGACCCGACGATGGCGGAGATGAAGATGACGAAGGCGATGATGCAGGCGATGACGTGCATGGCAACGACCACCTAGACGATCAAGGCAAATGATAAATGGTAGATATTAGATTTTTACCTGTGGCAGATTTATGTATAGTGCATTGAGGCTCCGCACCTCTCCCCTCAAAAGTCAGATAACTATTTTACCGCATAACCATAATAAAGCAATAATGACACTAATGCTGATGATGATAATAATTAGAATACTACTAATGATAATAAAAGTAATAATAAAGATATTAATAATAATAATAATCACCATGATAATCATGATAACAATTATGATAGCGCGCTCTAAAAGACTGAAATGTTAAATCTCAATTTATCTCAATTTAAAAGAGCCGAGGAGTGACCACTGTTTCAAAATGTCAGATTGATACTTTAAACATGCAAGATTCAACCTTTATAGTGTTGGATCCAGTATTTTCAAAGTGTTAATCTACCATTTTGAAAGAGTGGTCTCTCCTCGGCCATTTTAAATGGTGATTTGACATTTTGGTTTTTAGAGTGTGGGGTTTTGTATAGCGTCCATGTCGGTCAAACTTAACACTCCTTGCACGGCCGTCATAATGCTGCTCTATAGCATTTGAATAGTGTCAGGAGCCCATTCATACCTTACGAAATGAATTATGAAAAAATACAAATTAATGTATGTGACAGGGATTCGAACCCGTACCCTGCATGTGGTCCACAGTCCGGTGACTTAACCAGTAGACCTCATTATGCAGCACCTCTACATTATTTTACAATGTTTTGAATATGTAGTGAGAGAAAGAAAGATATATATTCAAATGTAAGGAAATAACCCAGATTATCATCTTTGTCCATTTTCGTGGACATTAATACAAAGCGAAAGAAGTGAGAGAAAAATATTGCAAAGACAGAAATGTGGAATTTGTATATAAACTCCGCAACCATTATTCTCTCATTTCCTTTCGCTTTATATTATATACATTTATAATAATAATAATAAATATATACAAACCGTGTTTTGTTCCCAGTAGCAGAAGATCCATTCACAGATATAGTCGTAGGAGAGTAATCCAGCGGCTACCCCTTCATATACAATCATTGCAAACGCCTCGAGGGAAGTCAGGATACACATTATCAAGAACGAAATCACCTGTGAACACATTAAAAGCATTAACATGATTTATATGGGCAATAATATAGATATCAAGGCAACAAACATCTCATATTCGGAAAAAGAGCTATCTATTTTTTTTTCTTTTCTTGTTTTTTTTTGGTCTAAGTCGCAAAATTGATAAGCTAAAAATATTCTATTTGGGAAAGAGGCGTCAGCCCCCCCCCCCCTCCCTCTCGAAAATGTACCCGTCTGTGTATATATTTGGGATCGACTATTCATATAAGGACTGCATGATGATATACTGTAAATACCGAAGAGAAATATGATGAAGATGTTTGATGAAAAACCTTAGGAGATATGACAGATTTTATTGTTTGATTTAATTTGATGTTCACGTATTTACCACATATTACATCATCATGAATGTATGAATTTCTAACATGTAGGGTCACGTCATAAAATCATATATAGAAAAACAACAAATCATAAGCTAAGCTTGAGCTGTCGTCCTCATCAAAAATTAAAAAAATGTCATACAATATATATACATCATTATGAAAACAATACATTGTGGAAAGCGGACGGCCAAAACGAATGAAAGAGAGAGTGACAGAGGTATTCAGAGAGGGAAAGGGAGGTGAGAGATGCATCAAGATAGTGTTAAGTGTTAATTATTAAGAAGAATTATTATGAACAACGATAGGGAATATCAAAGAATGTGACGCTTACCACGCACGATGACTTCTGGTAGGAACACGCTCCAAGAATTCCAGTTGGAATGTAAAACTTTGGGAAAGAAATGAGAAGGAAATGAGAAGACTAATAATCATACTTTACTGCATATACGGTTTTTTAACATAGAAAAATCCTTGTACTCGATACATTTCCCGAAGTTCGATGAAAACGCCTTTTTTTCTTCTTCTTCTGGTTATTACAAAATTGTCGGAATATTAGGTCCGGTAGACTCACACTGCCCCTCCCCCTCCCCCCCCCCCCCCCTCTTCTTCCCGACCCACTTCAAGTGCACAATGACACCCACTGAGCTTGGACAAGTTAGTCTTCGATATTTATCTGCGTTGTTGTGAAAAATGTAAGGCATTAAGTACCATACAGTATGCTAAAATATGTATCAATCATATTGTCAAGTGATTTTTTTTTTTTTTAATATTGATAACCTATCAACATATTCATGAATAAATGAATAAATAATACTTACAAAGACGGAGGCACCAATGCTCGAGCCCAGTCCGCTATACTCGTAGTATTCCCTCATTACCAGAGAGACGGCGATGATGAGGATGGTGATGATGCCTCCGACCAACATGATGAGACCGGTAACCTTGCCAACCGTGTCATCAAAGTTTGGCACGCTACCAGAGCAACAGGAGTCATTGCCTCTCTGGGTCTGAATGTCAAGATAATAACAAGAAAATTACTTTTTACTTGATTTCATATGGTGCATTGTCAAAAACATTCAAAATAGTATAAAACAGAATGATTTTATAATTCTAGAGTTAAAACACGTCCATTAAAACACAATAAATGTGATTCGATCAAATAAAATGTTATGCAAAAATAAAATAATATCGAATAATAGCATCAACGGTGAACTGAAAATGGAAAATAAATAAGGAAATGTAAAGTACAAACTAAACAAAGAAGATAAAAAAAGAAAAAAGAACAAGACAAGTAAAGATAGAGAAATGAAAATGAATTTATGTAGAGTAGTTGCACAAAAGCGTGTGGATGATTAGATCGGAATTACAGTCATGTATTCAAATTCAGACTTTAATTGGCAATATGTATATTGATATGTGTTTATATACATGTATGAGTTGAGATTTAGAATTAAAATGATATGATAATTATGGAATAATACAGTAATGATGACCCTTAAGTCTCAACTTTTTAAGTGTGCCTAAGAAATCACATCAATTAAAAGACTGCTTTTGTGATAAGTTAAGATTACTTGTGCGTCTATTGTTTTAACCATTTAATACATTTTGGTGCATATTGCACGTCGACCTACCCTGATAATGGTGGTCCCACCGCCATAGGCCGGTCCCATCGACGGCACAACTACGGTGTTGTTCATGGACATGTTGTTGTTTGGCTGAGGGTAGTGATGGTACGCAGGCTGGGGCGCGGTCACCACTGGTGGGGGCTGCCCATATTGAGTCGACGGGTGCCCATACTGTGGCGGATGGGCTGCGTAGGAAGGGGGAGGCATGTTCTTTTCCATGTTGTAGCCAAGCTGTATTTCCAGGTGGAAATATATATTATTTTAATTGAATTGAATTGATCAAACGTCATGGACATAAATGTATATCCATGTTTTGTTTCAACAACTCAAAAATGAGAAATTAAAAATAAATGCTTTATTCACTATTCAAATATAGAAATAATTATATAGGATTACCAGTATGATAAAATACAAATTCTTCCTCTAATGTTATGATCTCTTTTTATCAAACTTTAATCGACAATAATGACCGATTCAATCTCCTAATTTACTTTTTAATGCGTAGAATTTATCTTTTATTCATATGCAAGATGAAGAGGTATGAAGATATGAAAATCTACTTTGTAAAAATAATTAAGCACTCATTGTGATTTCATAATTCGAAGGAAAATAGAATAAATGAGGTGCAGTTTATTATCATTATTAAACTGGTTATGTTACCTGAGTTACGCTATCACAATACTATCAGCTAATATATTTTCAAATGAATAAGAGAGAGAGAGAGAAAAAAAAAACATGTGGAGATTATTTACTTGGATGTAAGATTTAGTTCAATAAGAAACATTTCTGTTAACAATGAATTTCACACTTAAGTCTAAACATGATTTTGTAGTTTAACGTTTGAGTGTCAAAAGATTTGTTTTGATTTCTATGAATCAAAACAAATTAATAAATAAAATCGAAGAAAGAATGTAAAAAATTGTACGGATAACAAAAGATATACCAAACTTTCTCACTTGCAACGATATAAGCCGAAAGAAATTAAATAACACGAGATCATTTTCATGCTTGTAGGATTGTATGCCTAAAATATATTCGGTGAATATTCCGCTAAAAGATGATTTTTATATAAGACCTTTAGTGATTAGATTTTATAACGTAACATGATCAATAAACTGACATTTTATGGTGCACATATACCTCTTATGCTGGCCAAACAGTTAAATACCACAGTGTAGAACGTTATCATAATTATTTTTATATCTGTTTACCCTTAATATAGATAGTAAAGAAGTAATGTGTTATATTGTAAAATAATTCTAAGATAAACACTAGTATTTCCAGCAAAAGGTCAGCGATATTTTGAAGAGAAAGTAAAATTGTTCTAACTCACCTTATATTCACTGTTAAGTCGATACAATTAGAAAAAATAATCCGCGATCTTTAATTCCAGTGGTTTGACTGTAAAGCGCAATGCAATCACGATGGCGTATGTATTAAAGACCTAGTATATTACATTACGCAAAACACGCAGATGGATCAAAATGGCGCTCGCATCGATTTTGTTGTCATCTGTTGCGCAGAAGCCATATATAATAGTTGGCTTCTATTATCTGCTTCGTTATTCCTGTTCTACACAAAATACGTCAGGGGCACTACAGACGTCACTTCTATTGACAAGAGCTTATCTGTAGTATAGGGTTATTGATCGAGATCAGAGAGGCGGTGTTTATATGTGTGCGTTTGTGTGTGTGTTTATGTGTGTGGGGCAGGGGGTCTATTGGGGCAGTTAAATGCGTAAATTGAATGGGGCAGACGGGAAGGTAAGTGGTGATGAACAAAGAAAGAAAGTAGGCTGATTTGTTGTAGGCGACTCAACTGCATCATCCATTCTATACTCTTATCCAGGTACGTCTCAATTGGCATTTACTGTATGTACATGCATGTTTATCATTTAGTCATTGGCTAAGCGTTTGTCGAGCCATCCGGGGGGGGGGGCACTTTTTCCATAGATGATAAAGGGGGAGGGGTGAAAGGCGAATCGCAAAAACTATCAAAGTGATTGATTATGTGTGAGAGCGTTGTATCATCTGGCAGAAAATATTCTTACGATATGATTTTTCTCATGAAATTTGTTTTTATTCTGCTTTTATCAATAGAAAAATGTACAAGTGTATATCCATGATACCATGAAATAAAAAGTTTAGTGTTCAGATCATTAGATATACCATTTAGTTCCACTGCTACTACACGATAATCATAATGGTTATAACAATAATATAATAATATTAATGTATTTCATTTATGATGCGCCTTTTCATGACATACCAATGCGCACAAACAAATGTACTTACAAAGAAAGAAAGAAACGGTATCATGCAAAAAAAAAAAAACTGCATTAGGCACAAGCAAAGAGCTATATTAATACAGAAACAAATATTAGTGTTTCCGGATACTTCTTGAATGGTGTGAAAGTTTGGCGTTTGGGGAATAAAGAGTTCGAGGTTTGCGGGCGATGATTACAATTTTCTCAAACTTTCACTGAATTGTTTCTCTAATTTGTTCCTATATTAATACTAATTTAATTTCAGGGTGGACGTCTTATGTATGACACGTTAATAGCACGAAGCCAGTAAAGAACATTAGGGACTTTTAGATTCTGCACGATGAGAACGCGGACTGCCCTTTTTAAGGCAATGTGACGTCGCTGCCAGTGCCTTAAAAGGACGTCACATTGCCTTAAAATGGCAGTCCACGTTCTCGTCTAACTAGGCGTTGTGACGTGCGCCTGTAATCCAGCTAACAGTGGAAGTTACAAACTAATTCAGCCGAGGACGCAGGTTCGAAACTGAGTCACGTCTTTCGGGTGGTGACGTTAAAGGTCGGTCCCCAGACGTAAATAATCATATCTGATTGATACACGTCTGTAAAAACCCAATTACACACACACACTCGTCGTGCAGAATCCTAAAAGTCACTATTGATGAGAGGGGAGACACGGTATAATGTTGGGGTAGAATGTTCATTAATGAAATATATAGGATAGACTCAGAGCTTTATTCTGAAGATTAACGACTACAAAATTGAATGTTTTTTATACCATTTTTCGTACATGTTGGCCGAAGACTGAGTTGCATAGAATACAAATAGTACAAATGTACAATGTATAATAACGAATATAACGAAATCGGAGAGATACGAGTTGTGGATCACATTGAATTAAGGGCAAAATTCACAACTGCATTGAATTAGTTTTCTTTGAAAATTTCAATGGGAAAATTACGAATGTATATCTATATAGAGATAAATGTACAAATTCTCAGTGTCACTTTAAAAATGCGTTCAATTTATATTTTTTCTTTCAAATTGAAAAAAAATCAGAGGTTAATTGCACATTTTTCACATGCTTCTGTATCTTATTATAGTACACTCGTGCAGTGTCATTCTACTCTAGGCATATATTCTCCTCTTACAGTTGGTCCTCTTCATCTCTCTCTCTCTCTCTCTCTCTCTCTCTTTCTCTCTCTTTCTTTCTATCTATCTCTCAATATCTATTATCTCTTTGTATCTCTCTGTCTCTGTACACTTTTTTCTTCCTATCTCGCCCTTTCTCTGTCTGTCCGTCTCTCTCTCCCTTCCCTCCCATTCTCCTCTAACAGTTGGTCCTCTCCATCTCTTTCTTTCTCTCTCTCTCTCTCTTTCCCTCTCTTTCTTCTATCTATCTCTCAATATCTATAATCTCCTTGTATCTCTCTCTGTCTCTGTTTATTTTTTCTCCCTATTTCGCCCTTTCCCTGTCTCTCTCTCTCTCTCTATTACAATTTCCCTCTCTCTAAAAATCTCTAAAAAAATAAGTAAATAATTAAGTCTAAGGCATGTATGCAATTTTTTTACAATAAACTGAAGGAATGAAATATAATTAGTATGAAAGTTGAACAAATCAAGTTCGTAAATCGTGACGGAGATGAACCATGCGTATAATACTAAAGGTACACAATCATGACAATGCACAACAATTACATAACTCATTATTAATACTAACTTGATGAATACTTGATGAATACTTGATGCATACCTTCTTCTTAGTACCATTATTAGTCTACACCTTTCATATGCGATCCCTTTAAAGTGCGTTCGCTAGCCTCTTCATAGCCCTGTCAATGTTGTCAAATACTCGTTTTTATTCTTCATAATGATCTTCTTTTCTGTATTTCGTTTATTTTCTGTCCACCTCTAGGTTTCATCATCATCATCTTCTTCTTCTCATTCTCAATTTGTGTTTACTTCTTCTTTATCGGTACGTGAAACCATTCATAAAAAGAAACCTGCCCTCACGTCACGTTTTCCCATTACAGCATATTCCCGTGTCCATTCAACCTCTACAAGTATATGACAAGGGTAGAAATTTGTCATCCGACTGTTTATAGTGCTGTGCAAGACGAAATATTTATCTGCCATTGTGGACGGAATGAAAACACAATAATATTATAAAACCATCGTGTGCAAAATATCGAAGATAATGTTGAAACAGAAGTCCAATTTTCATATTCACAAACACGGACAGAATAGTGCCGCAAAACACACTTTGTACATGACTTGTTACAAAGAAAACTTCAAACTACTCCGCTTATACACCATTAGTTTCAGCCTTCATATGAATTCATTTTCAATTTTTCACCCTATATGTATATTGTTAAAATAATAACAATATAATATAAGTAATACATTTTGATAAGATTGTAATACACTCACATCTAATGATAATTACTTTCTTATCCACGCAAGCTTAGCTTTTATTTTGGTTGGACATTTTAACAAGTAAAGTATGAGACAAGCACATGGCAAATACACAGTGGTTTGTTGTAACATTATGTCTCAGGAAAGTCAAGACTTGTTAGATTATCTGATAGAAGTAACATTCATTTTCTTGTAAAAAAATAACTTTTCGGTAGCAGCACACAATATTTACATATATTAGGCCTATATGTATTAATAATATTAACAAATCTAATTGGCATGTGCAGAACTAAAAATCCGAAGAAATTTGTTTCGTGGTCACTTTGTGGTCATTATTTTTTCGGCGGGAGTTTTTTTATTCAAAAAAATATACACAACCCCTATATACGAAATGTTCCTTCATTCATGCCAACTCGAATTTTATGGGGTTTTTTTTTTCTTCAAATACGTCGTACGCATCGTACTCAGTTAGAATGAACAAATAATGGGAAACTAAATTGAGTACCGAGTTAAGACAGCAAATACATGTAGAATATGGATATATAATGAAATAAACATCTTTATTCATTTTATGCATTCTTTTTTTAACCAAAAGTTTCTTTTGACAAATAAAAAGCTTGTCAGAGGCTTGTCAGACATAGCAACAACAATTATATGCAAAGCAAATGCCATCCATAGAGATGTCATTATACGCTGAGTCGTAAAACACAGCAGGTGAATCAAATAGTTGATAACCAGAGCAGTGTTTTATGAAGCCATCACTAGTACAAGTTCACCTACAACTCATTGAAATGCGAGTATTAAATTGTATTCGCGTTCTGATGAGAAATCGACGAACTTGTACTTATGAAGGTTTCGTTAAACGATGCCGTGTGTTTTTGTAGAGAAGCATGCATGCATTAACATCCATTAGTAAACAGATTTATCTATTTAATCACATTTCTGCAGTATATTTTCACATAATTATCATCTGATCATGAAGCTGTTTTAGAAATCTGTATGGGATGATGACCACAAATGACGATGTCTAGCAAACAGATTGCTTTAGTAGTAGGTCGTCCTCGTTTCGGTGTGGCTTCCTGCAACATTAGAATATAAGAGAGAGAGAGAGAGAGAGAGAGAGAGAGAGAGTTATTGTCATAGCAACGAATTATCTTAGTTTGTGATTTCTCACGTACTGAGGTTTTGCAGTGAATATATAATCTTTTTTTACACAATTTTGAATCAAACCAATTATACTGTCGGGTGTAAGACGTGGCATAATATTAAGTTGAGTTGTACAATGAAAATGTTAACAAACTGTATACGCGTTAAATCAATGATAGTAGTGATAATGATGATAATAGTAATAATAACAATAATAATAATAATAAGGATAATGATAATAGCAATAATAATAATAGTTTTAATAATGATGATGATGATGATGACGATGATAACAGGGGATGATAATATTTTGCGGCACAACCCTCCGGTTTGTTTTCTTCTGTATTTGTCGTAGTTCTAGCTTAAGCAGCTACCTTTTCCCACCCCAGTTTCCATTATAGACGAAATATAGTTTCAGACGATCCCTTGACCACCCCCCCCCCCAATACCATTACAACCCTGTAAGCCGGTTTACCGCGCAAAAAATGAACGAGGCATCCATGTCCATATTATACATTCTCGACAGTGTAAAACACTTACCGCCATAGGTCGAGCTGGTGTGTGTGGTGGTTGTAGACTGCACTGTCGGCTGGAATGCAACAGGCCGGGTAGATATAAAAGGGAAAAGATGGAGATTAAAGATGAATAAATAAAATAGAAATAAATTTATGTAGAACAATTGCAAAAAAACATGAGGATGATAACAATCAGAACCAGGTATTCAATCAGGTATTCAAATTCTGACATTAATTGGCATTATTATCTATATGAGGCTTCTATGGGGTACAATAAATCAGTGTGTTCAATGGCCGGTCATCCGGGTACTGCGCTAAAGAATACTTTGACTTGTCTAATATTGTCATAGCTCGAGCAATATATTCTTGTATCACACTCAAAGCCATCCAATATTATGTGAATACATATGAATGGAGATTTAGAATTAGAATGATATGGAATAATTGGAATGCTGACGCTTAAGTCACAACTTGTCAGTTGAGACTAAGAAATCACTTCGATATAAAGACTATTTTTTAATGATAAAATTGCTTTTTTTTAGTGATCATTTAATAAATTTTAGTGAGAATTGCACGTCGACTTACCCTGGTCCCACCGCCGACGGCCGGTCCCATCGTAGCCACAACCACTGTGTTGTTCATGGTCATGTTGTTGTTTGGCTGAGGGTAGTGATGATACGCAGGCTGGGGCGCGGTCACCACTGGTGGGGGCTGCCCATATTGAGTCGACGGGTGCCCATACTCTGGCGGATGGGCTGCGTAGGCAGGAGGAGGCATCTTCTTTTCCATCCTGTAGTCAAACTACCATTTCGCGGTGGAAAATGTATTAACTTAATTGAATTGAATTCATGAAACATCATGGACATAAATGCATATCCATGTTTTGTTTCAAAGGCGACAAAAAGGAGAAGAGAAATATTATCAATTTATGCACTTTTCAATAAATGAAATATATAGGATTACCAGTATGATAACAATCAAAATTCTCTCCTATATGTTATGGTCTGATATATAACACTTTAATCGATATTTGGTGACTGATTCATTTGAAAAATGTTCTTGTTTTGCGTAGAATTTAATCGCGGGAGTCATCAATTCAACGTCTCCTTTAAAAATAGTTTTGCATAATATTTCCCTTTAAACAAATTGAGGAAGTATAATAAAATTCCTCTGAAAATTTTAAAAGAAAATGATAAGCTTGCGTGAAGAGATTTCACGGTTATAGATACAAGTGAAGAAAGATTACTTACAGGGTATGGGATATTAAACAAATAATACACAGCAGTGGGGGCATTAGTATGAATTACCCACACAAGGTATCTTCGGAACAGTCTAACACGCCCATTTGAGAAAATCTTTTTAACAAATATTTAAAAAGGGGTATAATTTTCTTCATATGCAAGATGAAGAGGAAAGAAAATTAAAAAAATTACTTAGTGAAAAATTATTAAGCATTCATTGTGATTTCATAATTCAAAGAAAAGTAGGATAAATGAGGTGCATTTTATTGGCATTATGAAACTGGTTTTGTTACCTCAGTTACGATATCACAATACTATCAGCTCAGTGGCGTACGCAGGATTTTTTCAAGGGAGGGGTTTTAAAATCGGGCCCAAAATTTGCTCCCGAAAATTTGAAAATCGCGCCGGCCGAAAAGTCGCTAAGTGGGGGGGGGGGGGGGGGGATTTGACATTATGTTCCGTTGGGGGTAAGGTCACCTTTTTTAGGTCAGCCATTGGCATAATTTTTTTTTTTTTTTTTTTTTTTTTTTTTTTTTTTTTAATAAAAAAAAAAAAAAAAAAAAAAGGAAGGGGGGGGGGGAAGGGGGGGTTTCAAAACAAAAAAAATAGTCACAAAAGAAAATACATTTTCAAATGAATAAGAGAGACAAAAAAAACATGCGGAGATTATTTACTTGGATGCAAGATTTAGTTTAATGAGACCCATCTCCATTATCTACAGATTTCCACTTAAGTTTTAAAGGTACTGTATCCCTTTTGCAGCCAACATTAAGTTCTCTTAAACTTTGCCGGAATTATGAATATACGACCATTCAGTACAAGCGTCTGAAAATCAGACTATTTACTAAAAGGTTTGCAATCCCTAAAGTCGATTTGACAAGCAATGGTCGTTATTTTCTCTCAAGCCCTTTTATTTTGAAGGAAGTTCTAAATTGGTATTATCTTTCAATTGTCATTGGATTTTTTTTTCTTCTTCATTTTGGGGGCCTGCAAATGGGACATAGTACCTTTAATATGATTTTGTAGTTTGACTTTTGAGTGTCAAAAGCATCGTATTGATTTCTTTGAATCAAAACAAAATAATAAACAGAATGGAAGAAAGATGTAAAATTGTACGGATAACAATAGACCGAAAGCTTCAGTCTCTATATCGTCGGTTGTTCCACTGAGACTACGTCTGGCTCCACTAGACCTCCGGATATAGAGTCTCAGTGGAACAACCGACGATATAGAGACTGAAGCTTTCGGTCTAGGATAACAATAGATACACTAAACCTTCTCACTTGTAACGTGATAAACCAACAGAAATTGAATATCACAAGATCATTCTCATGCTGGTAGGACTGTATGCATATAATATATTCGATGAACATTCTTCTAAAAGATGATTTTTATACTAGTCCTTTAATGATTAGATTTTTATGACGTAAAAGGATCAATAAAGTCACATTTTATGGTGCACATACTTCTTATGCTGGCCAAACAATTAAATACTACAACGTTATCATACCTTAGTCTATAGTTTACCCTCAATATGGGAATAAATAAGTAATGTTTAATATTCTTAACTAATTCTAAGATAAAGACTAGTATTTCCAGCAAAAAAGGGAGCGATATTTTGAACGTTTTTTTACTCACCTTACACTTAATAAGTCAATAAAATTAGGAATATTAAAATGCTCAAATTCGTTCCAAATTTTTTTGCACATGTTTCAGGCCATTGTAAGCATTTTCAAAATTTTGCGCGAGAGCACTTATTTTTTGCGCGTGTCCGCGCGTAATCGCACGTACTGACATTTTACAACATAGAAACGCCAAATTTTCTGACCAGTGATAACGCAATGAGCGTCCGTCAAAGTTAACAGCACGCGCGGATCTGCGTTTTCCCTATCCACATTACATGTGCAAAAACAGCTTATACAAAATTCATTTTAACTCTTCAGAATGGATAGATACCCCCAATTTTTTTCATATTTAGATAGATCATGAGTCGGAGATATGATTTCATGTCTCATTTGACCCTCAATTAACTCATGACGTCATCATAATGGCCTCCGAACTCAAAATTTCAATTTGCATATTATGACGTCAGCACATTTTTGGAAAATTGATTGTATCTCTGTAAATATTGACCAATTTTCTTTCAAATTTTGATATGTTTTAGCTGAGAATATTCTCTACAAATACAGTCCCCACGATATTTCATTTTGACAATGGCATCATGGCGTATTTTTGCGATTATAGGAGGCATGTCAATTTTTTCACATTTAGCGTGTATGGGACATGACTTTTTCTCAAAACTGGATTCTACATTCTTGTCTTTCGCGAGCAATATCTCCGTCGTTTTATCTTCGTTTACGCTGAGCTTTAAAGGTGAAATTCAAAGAAAATCAAAAATATGTCAACTAATGTATCACTAGAAACTGGTAAGCTAACAGATGGCCATCGGACAAGTTTTGGGTCAACTACATATCGGGTGATTTATAAAAATACAAATACAACCACCTCCATAGCAGCTGGGATATACGAGAGCTTCGCCGGAAAAATAACGATGTTTTAATGACGTCACTATATGGACCAACACTGCCCAAGCAGACGACATCCCATAGAGAATGAACATAATTGCAAAGTTATTATTTCTCAAATTATAATGAGTTTAGTGTATATAAATGTAATGGCATGTCAAACCATTCAAAAGGGGATATGACCCGATTCTGATAACTAAAATCTTTTGCTTGTAAATACACAGGATAGGGGTTAATTAACAATCAAAGAAACCAGACTTTCAAATGGAAAAAACCCCGGAATGATACTGAGGACGGCATTTGTTCCCTCTTGAAACGCCGAACATACCCCGTCTGTGCAGCTGAATATACAATGGCGTCTTATTTTGTTTACAAGCGACAGATTCCTTTATTTTTGTATCGCTACATTTTTCATCAAAATAAAACCATGCGCGGGGTTTAGAGTGAGGCAATAGATTATACATTTAGCCTGACGGTAGTGAAGTAAGAGAAAGAACTCAAGAGAAGATGAAAACACAGGCACTAAAAATGTGTGAGATGTCATGGGACATCGTCTGCTTGTGCAAGTCATGTCCATACTGTGATCTCACACATCTCAGCAGCGTTCGGAGAGCTCTTCAGGTGCTATGCCGGGGCTGTATTTAAGCGTTTTGTACTTTATAATAATCACTACTTCGAATGTTTCCAAGCATTAAATTTTGATAACCTTGTCGAATCAAACTTTCAACTTTGTAATAATGAAAATAAAGTTAGTTTTTAAAATCAATGAATATCTACTTTAAGTATGTTGTAGCTGAGACAATGAGCTATCACAAGTGTACCCTTTATTTTTCGATCAGATGCCGGGATCATGCTCATATTTCACTTACAAAGTGGGATTTGATAATTCCATTTTTCGTTTACGTGTAATCTCTATGGGAAATGTTTTGGTATATCGGTAACGCACTTGACTTCCGACCTCGAGGTCCCTGGTTCGAGTCCGGGCGTCTCCAACATTTTTTTCTTCACTTTTTTTTCTTTTTGACCTTTCACTGTACCATCTCCTTTGAATATTAAAACACGTACAATCGCAAATAATGTAATAAACAACCATATTTACTTTATTATTACCCTATTATCACTTGATCCATTACTTTTCGCGTGTAATCCTTATGGGAGATGACTTTTTCTCAAATCTGGATTCTACATTCCTGTCTTTTGCGAGCAAAATCCCCGTTATTTCGGCTTGATTTTTGTTGATTTTTGAGTATGTTGTAGCTGAGACTATATGCTATCTAAATGTTCTCTCCCTTTTTATTCAGTCTGATGTCATCATGGTCTGTTGATGATAATCCTCAACATCATCATGATCATGATGATCATCATCATCGTCATCACAATTACTATCAAGATCATCATCATCATGGTCATCATGATGATCATCATTGTTTACATGTCTATATAACTTCTCCCTTTCTCAATATAGTAAATATTTATTATTATTATTATTATTATTATTATTTACCTTGCACAGGATAGTTTATTATTTATTTAAAATGTTTGCACACTTCTTTCCAGAACTAAACTTCAATAATACCTCATACAATCGAGACAAATGACCTCCCCCAAGGTTTGAATGAGATGTTTATCCCACTGATTAATATTTAACAGCTCGTTTTTATACCAATTGATTTCGTTATATAAATGAAATCTTGACCCAGATACTAATAGTCCACAATTATTGTAGACAAGTACTAACGTGTATGTTATCGTTTAACTTGTTAAGTAAACATCCCCTGATAGTGATATAAACCATATTGTAATAGTAAACAGTGTTGGTATAATATGATATTATTTTTTTTACGCTGACGATGCACGCAATCTTGATCAATAAAGTTAGTTTACCAGTTTATAGTCCATGCAGTTCATCTAATCTTGGGGATATATGATGATTCTTGAGGGAAATATTGGTCCAGACACTTGGATCTACAAAACATTCTTATGTGAAAGAGCACCACTTTTTTCACCACTTGATGAGGATGGAGGGGGAACGTGTCACCCTCACCCCCTATATCTTCGGTCTACCCCACTGGATTACCTTAGCTATCATAAAATCTGTTTAAAATGCTAGGAGTCAAGGAATTACAAAGAAAAATGACAAGATGAGACCTTAATGTCTAGACGTTGCATCTCATAATGTATGTAGGTAGGCCTATTTCTGTTTTATCAAGGAGATACACAGGATGGCATGGCATGTAATTATTGTTCCAGAGTGACTAACTTGACATATTTCAAAACAGAAAGTGTAAGCTACAGATATTTGGGTTGAGACATTTACAAAATACATGAAGAAAAAAAAGAAGGTAACGATGGGGAAAAGAAAGGAGTATGAGAGAAGATGTAAGCATAAGACTAGGAGACCTTTTCATTAAAACTAGAACTATTCAATTCTAAAAGGAGAGTGCTCAAGGGGCTGTGGGCATGCGAGCACGAAGGTAAAGCAAAAGTATCCGATGAAATGCTTTATAAATGGCGTAGAATGCTGTCCTCTGAGCATATTAGGAATCCGCCTGTCATTAATACATTTTAAGTGGTGGTGGTAGTGTTTGCCAGACGCTCCACTTTGATGGAAAAAACAGTAATTATTTATCATCAATAGAGTTATTGTTTACTTTTTCCATTTAGTTAATCCAGTTACTTTTCTCTCTAATAATATTGTTGTGTATTACATTCATGCAATTTTCCACTTATTACGGTCTGTTTTTCTTTTGTTTTTTTGTTTTGTTTTGTTTTGTTTTGTTTTGTTGTTTTTTGTTTTTTGTTTTTTTGTTTTTTGGAGGGGTGGTCTAATGGAAACAGCTCACTAGTTGAAACGTCTTGCAGTGGACATATATGATAAGATAATGTGGTATTTCATTATAATTACTCGGGTTTGTACTTATTAAGGGCCTCCATTGCATGGGTACGTACATCCCGCCACTGAAAACGTCTGCATGGCAGAGGTAATTGGTAATAAAGAGAGTTGTTCTCTACTTTTTTTATCAGGTTTGATCCAGATACTTTACCCGCTATTAATAAAGCATATTTAGCACTCATTAAGGGCGTCTGTCATTCGGGGCCGTTTGGCAGTCACAACCCCTTTTTAAACGTCTGACATTGGTCATTAATGATACATGGGGTTGTTTTCCATAATTTCCACCAAGCTCCAACCGATTACATTTCTTGCCACTCTACCTCTTTTAGTTTAATTATTTATTATCCTCACAGTATAAGATCGGCATTTGGCAGTTTGGGGGCGTTTGGCGGACACAACCCACCATTTAAAACGTTTGGTATTGGTAATACGTGGTACAAAATGAAATGTTCTACAATTTCCACCAGGTTTGATCCAGTCACTATTTTCGCTAAATTTTGGCCCCACCACTCTGTGCACGATTGACATCAATATACTGACACACTTTGGTTCATGGAGCATTGCTGTGTATATGAACGCTTTTCCGTTCACTACTCCCCCTTTCTCTCTCTCTCTCTCTCTCTCTCTCTTTATCTTTCTCCTCTATTTCTCTCTCTTTATCTTTCTCATCTCTCTCTCTCTCTCTCTCTCTCTAACACACATACGCACATGAACACGGGTCTTCCGTAGTATCTGATGACATTTTAAGCCCTCTCAACCTGTATAGGTTTGATTCCTGATCTATCATTCTCGGCATTATTTATAAAATGATTTCATAAGACCCCCATGTCTTTTGTTTACGCACTTCCTTTCTTCATTGTGAGCTCGATAGGCCTACTCCATGTCCGTCATTAGCTTTTTTCGAAGCATTTTGGGGTTCTCGGTTTTTATAAGTTTTCATTTCGCTGTTCATACTATTGGAGAGCTCGTACCACGTTTCTTGGCACACAGAGATGAATCACGGCCCGTTTACAGCGAAATGTCATCTCAAGATGCCCCCAAGCAATGAGGTGTGAGCTCTCACAACGTACGGACAGTGAAACAAAGACATCACCGTTACTCACAACCCGCTCATCCATCATACATGTGCACATGTGTGTGTGTGTGTGTGTGTGTGTGCGTGTGTGTTTAAGTGTGCATATATATAATATATATATATATTTTTTTTTTTTCATGTGGACCTATTTTAAAGCTTATCTGCCATAGTTAAGCTCTCAGTTAACATAAGAAAAAGAGGATCATGGGGGACCAATGGTCACCGATTAGGCATTGTTTGTTATATAGAGGGCGCAAGTAGCTACAAGTAGTGCAGTGGGCCTTTAAGATGAAGCCAAGATCTTACATTTTGGGTAGGAAATTTTGATTCTAGGGTAATGTGTGACATATTGCCGTTTTCAAAACTTGCTTGGAGAATGTTCGTGTGACGGATTTCTATACAATCGGCTGTGTTGAATGCATCAATATGTGACGCACAAGTCTATTGTATAACTCTTTGCTATCATGTAATCATAAATGAAGTAATAATGAATAATAATGATAATAAACTAGTAACAATGACATGGAATCAGAATATAAAAAAAAGATTTGTATCAACCTAATGCATCAGTCATTACGATTGTGAGGACAACAGAGAATAAATAAGCAAAATATTTGTTCTTCTTGCAATGAGTAGATCATTTATTAATGAAAGAGTATATACGTAAATACAGGGTAGGAAACTTTACCTAGTTACATAAGCATGTCCATTCGAGATGAATCTCTACAAAAACGAAGTAAAGAATGATATCATCTTATAGCGAAATGTCATGATAAAACCTTGTTTATACAATTTTATTTTAGATGAACGTTTAAAAGAACAGAAAGAAAGAGAGAGAGAGAGAGAGAGAAAGAACTGGGGATATTCGGGGGAGCTTGTTAGCACAGTTTGAGACATGTGCCCCCCCCCCCCTCCCCGCAGATGGATTGACAATCCTGAATCGTTGAGTTTTTTCTTTCTCACTCTCTCATTCAGATATGACACGGTAAACCGCAGCAAATATATATTGCTGCGAGTTATGTGTTATGAGGAACAGAAAAGGGATGCTTATTACATTTTAGGTCATACAAAACTACCCGATTTTGCCGCGTCATTTCTGAATGAGGCCTAATGGAGAAGGTTTCTCTTCAAAGAAATTAAGTTAAAGCAGTTAGCACAATGGTTAGAAACACTGGCGTACCTATGGGGGGGGCAAGGGGGGCAGAGTGCCCCCCCTGACGGGCTCCAGGGGAAAAAAAGAAAAAGGGGAAAGAAAAGAAAAGAAAGGGAAAGGAAAGAAAAAGAAAAAAGGAAAAGGAAAGAAAAAAGAAAAGAAAGAGAAAAAAGGAAAAAAAGGAAAGAAAAAGGAAGAAGAAGAGAAAAGGAAGAAAAAGGGAAAAGAAAAGGAAAGGAAGAAAAATGGGAAAAAAATAAAGGACATGGCCGTAAGCACCAGGGGGGGGGGGCAGTTGACCCCAGATATTTTGAAATCGTACAGTTTTTTTCCTGAAAATGTAGTGTAGGCCTATACCAAATCCTTCAATTCTACTTTTGAAAATGCAAAAGTACCCTGAGCTCATGACGAGTTCGGTCGCTCGAACTCCCTTCACTCCTTTTGCTTTTGAGATTCTTCGAAAACTTTTAACGCATCTTTCCCCCTTCCCCCATTAGAAAAATATTCCGCATACGGCCCTGAAAAATTAAAACAAATGAAAATAGGAAAATATAAGTGATATAACAAATTTGAAACTCTTCGCTGGCGCGAACTGCTTGCTAGCCTATTTTGTATTAAATGTTTTCACTTCCTCGTCCCCCTGAAAAAAGAAAAGGATTAGTATTGCCTAGAATACAACTGTGCCTGCCCCGACGGGCCCCGACCTGCAACCATGGCAACAATAACACACAATATATGTACCAAATGTTACTAAAAGAGACTAATTCATTTTTCTCGCTCGCTACACTCGCTCGCGAATAAAATGAATAGACATTGCTTTGGAAACTATTGTGCCCACCCTTGACCTGCAACAATATCATTAAAAATGGAAGAGTTTTTTTCGCCCTCTCGCCAAAAAGGAATTGAATCGCGTTAAACGCGATTGCGTCCATCATGACCTGCACCAATAAAAACAAGTTTATTTATTAATTTCTATTAAAAGAGAATTTATTTTTTTTGCTTGCTCGCTATGCTCGCTCGCCAAAATGGAATTGACACCGCTAACGTGCCCGCCCCAACCTGCAACAACCAGTTAATAATTATGTACGAAACGTTATTCAAAGAAGTTTTGGTGTGCTCGTGCTCGCCAAAACGGAATTAACATCACCTTAGACATGATTGTGTAAGCCCTGCCCTGCAACAAAAAAATCTGAAATTTATGAACCAATTATCATTACCAAAATTTTGCTCGCTCGCTACGCTCGCTCGCCAAAATAGAAATAACACCGCTTTTAATAATCACGTCCCTGACATGGAACAATATTAAACCAAGTTTATATACCATATTTTCCCTATAAAGAGAAGTGATTTTTTTTTGCTCGCTCGCTACGCTCGCTCGCCAAAATAGAATTAACACCGCTTTTAATAATCACGTCCCTGACATGGAACAATGAACCCAAGTTTTATGTACCATATTTTCCCTATAAAAGAAAAGTGATTTTTTTTTCGCTAGCTCGTGGAATTATGTGCCCACCACTATCCTGCTACAATATCATTAAAAAGATAAATGTAGGGGGTTGCCTGCCCGCCAAAATGGGATTGACATTGCCTTAAACACGATTGTGCCCGCCCCCTACCTGCAACAATGAAACAAATTTTATAAAGCATTCATTGAGAGAAAGATGTATTTTCGCTCGCTAGCTAAAATGGATATAAAATCACCCTAAACACAATATTGTTCCCGCGCCCTGCATGGGACAATTGAACCAAGTTTAAGTGGCAATTATTAAAAAAGAAGTGATTTTTTTCTTGCTCGCTACACTAGTTTGCAAAAAAATGAAATTAACGTCGCTAACAAGTGAATGTTCCCACCCCCAACTTGCAACAATACCAGTTTATATACCAAACGTTACTTAAAGATTTTTTTTGCTCGCTCGCTCGCTCGCTCGCCAGAAGTGAAAATTAGCATCGCCTTTTTTGTTTGTTTCGGTCGCTTGCCCCCCCCCCCCTGACGGAGTACCCCAGGTACGCCACTGGTTAGAAACATAGGGTTAGTAAAATTTAGGAGGGTATAGACTAGGGGACAGCCCTGGGATCCAATTTTTTTTCAAAGTGTCGAGTCTCTCGGCGGTGGTATCACTTCTTATTGACATCGTGTGTGGCACGTGATAATTACAAATTTGGCGTAAAATGAATAGTTGGCGGGAATGTTTGCGGATTTAAAAAAAAAGGGATTTTGTTTTTTAAGAGCATGAAATTTGATGTAAAGGGGTAATATTTATTCACAAACATGTGAATGCGTGTATTAATTTTTCTTCTTCTCGAAAACAGACAAAAGGGGCTACTCTTTGTGTCCGTGTAGTCGAAAAGCTAAAAATAATTATGTTTTTTTTATCTAGAGCCTAATCTGTGTACCAGCTCTTGTGCAAAAGGGATCATGTTTTCTTTATTTGTGGGTAAAATGTTCTTGAAAGGATACACCAAAGGGTCTTTTTCGACTCCGTTGTAACGATCACGCGTCACACCTTTTAATATGAAGTGACATCACCCAACCGTGAATAAATGACGGCCGAGCGAACGTGCAGAAAAATCTTTATCTTAGCTCCCAGTCCGCCCCAGGTTCAGTGTGTCCGCTGCCTTATATCATCTATTTGTCATCAAGTTCGGCCAGGAGTTCATATAGAGCCTGGAGGACATCTTTCTTCTTCAAGTCAGCATCCTTTTTGGCATCAGCGGCCATCTGTTTGTAAGAAAATAAAATACGATGATATTGATGATGATGATGATGATGTTACTCCTACTGCCATCGTGAGCAACGGTCACGCGCTTCTACATCCCTGTGAGGGTTTTTCACACCGTCCAAGCTGACTCGGCGAACTCACAAGCAGTCGAGTATAGCATATAACCAGATGAAGAAATCAATGGATAACTAACATGACTCGTAAAATGTGACCAAGTTATTTAAAAAAGGGCGCGGTCAAATTCAAAATGCTGCAATCAATCATTCACGCTTATATCATTTGTTATATTTTGTGATACCTGCGATTCCACAGACATTGGACAAATTTGAGTCTGTGTAAATATGTAAAAACCGACAAGAAGTTGGCGTTTAGGATCTATGTGTTATCGTGTTAGTTGTGGATATTTTACCTGACTGCTAAGAAAGCATAAATGCTTGTTATAAGCAATCAGAGGACCGAGGTCTTCTCAGAGGTCTTCTCCGAGGACCTAAGCTGTACTATTGCTGGGACTTAGGGACAGGACGGAACCAATGGTCCAGGTCTACCCAGGAACATGGGCTGACGTCAGACAGACAATTTAGTCGTTGTCAGGATACTCAAGGAGCAAGAAATACCCACATTAAAAACATAGCTAAGGAGTTACATTTATCATTGAATTGTTTTGATTTTGGGTTTAAGATTGTAATTCATTTATATTTTATTTTGTAACACTCATCTGTGCAAGTTGGTCTTTCGTTTGCAATTCTTAGTGGCAATGCCTACAATAAAATTATAGCAAAATATCACAGCCTTGTGACAGTATTTATCTTCTACACTGACTTCACCACCAAAGCACAAAGTTCACCAATGGTATCTAATGTAAAGGTTAAATGTAATGCGAAGTTTTGAGAAATTTAGAAAATTGGATGGATAGTAATTCTTTAAAATTATGATCTATTTGGATGTCCGTGTGGATGTTATATAAGCACTACAAAAATTAGCCCGTAAAACACTTCTGCTTTCGTGGGAATTGAATAATCAAAATACACCGGTGCCGCGGTAAATTTCAAAAAGCGCCTAAGAACATTACATAGAATATGCAGTTCTGATATATAATTTCCAAACAGGCATAGAAGATTGGTCAATTGTAGTCAAGAAACATTGTTTAAAAGCTAAAGTAATATCAGTCTCGAGAGGGAGCTATTTATTCCTTGAAATGCTAGAGCGCCTTAATGGCACCCATGCTAAAGCCGGGGTAATAATTTCCAAAGTTCTTTAGAAGCGCAAAGAGACGTTATAATATGATTTGCGCTATACCAGAACCGAATATTGTTAGAAAGTATTCCATAAAGGCCCATATTCACTTCGTCCACCTTTCATTCTTGAGTAATTACATCTATTTCATGATAAAGAGTAACCTGTTTTTGTCCAATAATTATACCCTATTCATAATATTTCTACCACGGGTGACTGAGCACTAGCGTCTTTAAAAAAGTGTTGTCAAAATGGCCTTATACAAAGTCTGATGCAACGAATGCGGGTCAGGCCGAATGCATGTGCTTTTTGGTCTTTAATCATCTCAAAGTTACATTATGCCTCGTGCTTCAGTGCTTCATTGTTTAAAATGATGCAATGCATCTAGGCTTTCACAGAACCTTGTTTCAATCCATAGGATAACTTTCAATGATTTTGAACAGCCTACTAACTTCCTGTCTCATGATATCTAAGTTCTTTCTGCTCATTTTCCGTTGCGGCACGCATAAGGAGCATAACGTTTGTATCTCAAATAGCGATTGAAAACTCATAGGATACTAAACCAAAATGTAAGAAAGAACAATAATCAAAGAAATTGACCGTAGACTTTCATAAAAAAGATAACTCCCTAAATATACTTTATTCATCTTTGTATCACCCGGTAATACAAAGTTTTGGGCAATTTTGATAATTGCTGGATAGCGATTCTTTAAAAAAATTTGAAAAATTTGGATGCCCCTGAGGATGTAATATAAGCACTAGAAAAGTAAGCCCCTAAAACAATTCTGCTTTCGATAAAATTTGAGTATCAAAATCTGCCGGGGCTCCAGGTTAATCTTGATAAATTTCAAATTGCGCATCCGGCCTTACAATAATAGCTGTGACCATGAACATCTCAGAATATGCAGTTGTGATATCGATTTTGGTCAAGAAACATGGTTTTAAAGCTAAATTAATATCTTGACCTTGAGAGGGAGCTATACAACATAACGAGACTAGTATTTACCATTTCATCTTTAGACTCTGATTTCAACCGCGACAACGATCACTGAATATTTTGGGATCGCAATTCTTCCAATATGTTCATTTGAACCAAAACTTGTATTACCTTTAAACAAGGGATGCGAATGAAGTCATAGTGAAGTAATTATCATAAATTTAAAAGCTTGTAATATTCATTTGCTTCAGTTTGAGTTTGAAATACCTTTTCTTTTCATGTGCCTTATAGTCAGTGACTGTCTGTAAGTAAAAAGCGAGCAATCGTTTTGGAATGAGATAACACACGCATAATGGCTTTTTAACCACATTCATTGCTTCAGCCCAAACTTGGTACAAGAGGATTTAAACAACATTTTTAAAAAAAGCCTGCTGCTCAGTCATTCGTGGCAGCACACTTATGAATGCGGTGTCATTATACAGGATATTAGTTTCCTTTTACCATTAAATATGATTTAATGTTACATAGATTACAACTTTCTAATTAGAAGCTACCAAAGTTGGGAACACGTTTTCGATACGAGCTGTGTATATATAATATGTACGCTCACATGGTGCATTTACTACATGTAGTTGAAAACAATACATCTTTTTAAAATCTATTCTTATCTGTCTTTCAAGATGATCCTTACCTGTTCTTTTTTAAGATAGAACTCCACATCCTCCAATTGGCGTTTTGTGTCTGTAAAAATATTTACAGAAAAAGGAGAGAAAAAAAAAACATTTTCAAATCATTCTTGTTGCATTAGTTGCAGAGTTGCATTTTGTGAATAGACTCCATATCCTCCCCTTCACGTTTTCTAGTAGCTGATAAAATATTAACGGAAAAAAGGAGAGAAACAAATTAAAATCCTTCTTGTTGCATGATTTGTATTCAAAAAATGATATTATTCTTTCATTGAATATGCATAACGCCGGCGTTTGAACGAGAACTACTTTCCGTCAATATTATTTGGATAATCATTTTTTTTTCAACCTCCTTCTTTTTTTTAATCATTAAATTCTACATACTCTATATCAGTAATTGTACTCGTACATATATTAAATATTGTCTAACCAGTCAATCTCAGCTCTGATGACAATTAGAATACTGCTAGAATTGCATAGAAATTATCATCGTTTTTTTTTTTTATTGAATTGAACAACATATTACTGAAAAGTTGCACACTCAAAAAAGGAAAGTATTTCGAATATTCATCCGATAACATAATTGTCAAATGTGTTAATTAAACCAGGGACGTGATAGAGAAGGACTGGAATCAAGCCGCTCTCCTTTGACCCCATGCTCCAAGCCGCCGAAAAGTTATGCGCTAATCTGCAACTGTTGACCAGGTGGTGAGATAAAAGAGCGCATGAAATTTCAGGAGTTAGAATTCCTACATCAGAAAATGGTATCACTGCAACTGTTCGCTGTCCCTTCCAATGATTTCTCATCCATTGTTGAATGTGTAAAGAGTAGAACAAGCGAACACAAACTTGTGTACTTTCATCCTTTTTTAAACTTGAAAAATACAAAAAACACGCGAAAACACGCATTAGCAAACTTAATGTTATTGAAGATTGTAAACCATGGATCAAATAACGGGACATTAAAGCATGCACAAATTAGCGCATCATCCTAAAATATTGAGTTTTTGACAGGATGTAATTTTTCTTTTACAAACTCTGGCACACAAATTAAAGGAAGGACGGAGTTTTAAATTTGAAAATTTGTTTGATGCACTATTCCCAATAAAATCCCCATATAAAGTTTTTGATTTACACTGAAATTTTGCCGGTAATTTAATATTTTGTAATAAATGTAAAACTGGTGCCTGGCTTCCGAAAGTCCCCGCAGTGGAAGCGCGGTTCGGAGCATGGAACTTCAAAGCCAAGTGGAATGTTACACATCCCATTGTTACGCTTTAGAACTCAAGAATGCGTTTGAATAAATTACAAGAGTTTCGCCTCCTTTTCTTTCACCTCCCTGGTTAAACTATGCTTTATAAAACTTTTTTCTTCATTACAATTTCGTTGACTTGTTTGCTTTATTAAAAGGAGTTATGTTATGTATTTCAAAAAAATTAATAGAATTATGTGGAAAATGAATGAGCTTGAACTTGAAGCTATTTGGCCTTAACGGTTTACCGAAGTTTTGTCTGAATGATTGCCATGGAGTCCTTGTGATGAACATACCTGGTGCTTCTTTACACAAGACCTCGGCGTCTACTGCGTGGGTACAGGCAGCCATAGCGGTGGAACTTAAATCACAGTCCATGATTGATGCCTCGTCGCCCTGACAAGTAACACCAGTGAGCGAAATCGGTCCAGTTCCAGCGCCAAAGAACTTCATTTCATCATGCCTAAAGTAGTAAAAGGAAGGGGTAGTGAAGCCCAGCTGCCGGCAGGCGACATTAGTATCCTTTTCGGTAAATCCAATGCCACACACTGTTCCCCATTGCCCATCGCGGTAGACCTCGACTATGCCCCACCCTAATCCCTCGTTCTTGTTGGCACCTGCAACCCGGATGGCTGGAAGGGATGTAATGATGATGAAGAAGATGAAGAAGATAATAATGATAATGTTAATAATAATAATAACAATACTACTACTACTTCTACTACTATAATCATAATATTATTAATATCGACTATCAATACCGAACCCCAAAAGAAAATGTTCATTCTGTCATGATGGTGACGCACTATGCAACCAACCAGGCGCGTACAGGGGGGGGGGGGGTTAACATTTATTAATCAGGCCGAAAATTTCGCAACGACTCAGCCAGCCACTGAATAAGCGGGGGGGGGGGGGGGGGTAAGAGGACACTTTTTTTTTTTTTTTGTCCCAAAAAAATCGCAACGACTCAGCCGACCGCTGAATAAGGGGAGGGGGGGGGGGGGGTAAGAGGACACTTTTTTTTGGGGGGGGGGGTCTCGAAATTTGAAAATTTGACATTTTGCTCCGTTAGGGGGGGGGTAAGGTCACCTTTTTTAGGTCAACTATGAGAGTTTTTTTTTGGGGGGGGGGGTTTACACATATAAAAATACCAAAGGGGGGGTTAACCCCCCGAACCCCCCCCCCCCCCCCCCTGCGTACGCGCTTGCAACCAACTCCCATTTAATAGTGTTAGACTGGCCCAGTCTAAACAGTCATTTGCAAGTCTGTACTGTCACGTCTCATGACAACGACCCAGTAGCGTACGCAGGATTTTTTCAACGGGGGGGGGGGGGGGGTTAATATTTATTTTGCAGCGACTCAGCCGGCCGCTGAATAAGCGAGGGGGGGGGGGGTACATATTTTTTGTTTTGTCCCGGAATTGGAAAATTATAGCGACTATTATTTTCATCTTTATTTTCTTATTATTCTTTCATTGAATATGCATAACGCCGGCGTTTGAACGAGAACTACTTTCCGTCAATATTATTTGGATAATCATTTTGTTTTCAACCTCATTCTTTTTTTATCATTAAATTCTACATACTCTATATCAGTAATTGTACTCGTACATATATTTAATATTGTCTAACCAGTCAATCTCAGCTCTGATGACGATTAGAATACTGCTAGAATTGCATAGAAATTATCATCGTTTTTGTTTTTATTGAATTGAACAACATATTACTGAAAAGTTGCACACTCAAAAAAGGAAAGTATTTCGAATATTCATCCGATAACATAATTGTCAAATGTGTTAGTTAAACTATGCTTCATAAAACTTTTTTCTTCATTACAATTTCGTTGACTTGTTTGCTTTATTAAAAGGAGTTATGTTTGTATTCCAGAAACAATTAATAGAATTATGTGGAAAATGAATGAGCTTGAACTTGAACCCATTTGGCCTTAACGGTTTACCGAAGTTTTGTGTGAAAGATTGCGCCTGCAACGACCTATGACTGTGCTAAAATCGAAAGAAATTGACAGTACGGATCTTGAGTTATCCTCTACACAAAAAGTGCGGGAAAATAAAAAAAATATATAAGAAAGAAAATTCTGACGAAATCTATGACAGACCACCTAAAAAAATCCAGAGACTGTTCTTTTCAGTAATAACAAACAAAAAAAGAATTTCAGCTTTTCCGCTTTAATTTTCTGTTATTTGATTTGAAAGGATGTTGTTGTTTTTGTTTTTTTACACTATGAAAAAAAAACGAAAAAAAAAACGAAAGTACTTCGAATATTCATCCGATAACATAATTGTCAAATGTGTTAGTTGTTATATGCTTTATAATTATTAATACTTTTGTTTTCATGAAAGGCAGTTATCAGATAGAAATATAGTGGCTGTATTTTTATTTGTTTAATAATAGATAGCTACAACGGCGATTCATTTTTGATTGAGTACATTTATCTATGCATTTATTTGTTCAGGAGGGGCGACCAATTTGGTCAAAAAATCAGTTCGTGCATTGCGGCCTATTTCGTTCCGACTAGTATTCGCTTCGGGTCGGGTTGTCGGGTATTAAAAATCACCCAAGCTGTGTACCAACTGCCCCAAGACGTTCAAAGCATTCAGGAAATAATTCCCCACAAGGTACCCGTTCGCTACTCCTGGGTGAAAGGTGGTACATTTAGATTAAAGGTAATACAAAGTTTTGGGAAATTTTGAAAATTGGGTGGATAGTGATTCTTTACAATTTGTATATAATTGGATGCCCCTGTGGATGTATTATAATCACCAAAAATATTAGCCCCTTAAACACTTCTGCTTCGAGAAAAATTGAATATGAAAATTTACCGGTGCTCCCGGTAAATTGTGATAAATTTCAAATAGTGCCTACGGCCGTACAGTGGTAGCTGCGACCCTGACAATTTCAGAATATGTAGTTGTGATATATAATTACCAAACGGGAATAGCTAATCGGTCGATTTTAATCAAGATACATTGTTTCAGGGTTTAATTAATATCTTGACCTTGAGAGCTAGGAGCTATACAACATAAATAGTTTAATATTCGTAATTTCATAACTTTAGACTCGATTTTAACCGCGACAACGATCACTGAATATAGTAGGATCGCATAATGCCTACAATATGTACATTTGAACCAAATTCATGACCCCATACCAAAACTTTGTATTACCTTTAATGTCAGGCCAAAGATATGAGCGCCGCGACAGGACTATAACCGCGAACCATGCGATCCACGATTCGGTGAGATATCCTCTAGACCGTGACATGTGTACCTATGTATAAAGCTCCATCCCTTAGCACATGTTACTACTAGTAAAAACTAAATTGAGTTTGCTGTACGATACCCTGAGTGGTGATGACTACCATGGGAAAATGTGTTAAAAAAGAATATATGCAATGTGTATATATATATATATATATACCGCACTACTCCCATCGTCCGTGTTCCATATCCAGCACTAACCAAATTTCTAACTTCGTATCAGGACCAAACACAAAAAAAGTTAACCCTATCAGTCTAAATGCATCCATAAAACCCTATCGAACACCCTAGTGTAATCCTATATGTAGCTGGTCGCGGTTCTAGAACGTTTCATTTTGTTTATTTTTTGGACGGGGTGAGGCCTTGGGGGCCTTTGGGCTATTATATGGATCGTCTTCACGTCCTTTGATTAAATTCATTATAATCGATTTTTTTTTTTTTTTTTTTTTTTTTTTTTTTTTGGGGGGGGGGGGGGAGGTCGAGTGCTTGAAGATGTGTATTTTGTTAATCTATTTATTTAAATGCAGGGGATTTGAGCCCCCCCCCCCCCCCCCATTAGAATCGCTACTGCCCTGATTACAAAACCAAGCACAGAAGAATAATTATCGGAGCAGGAGCAAAAGTCTGATTTTGTTTGGAGATTTGGACGACATACCTTCGTTACATATCACTCCAGCATCCTCATGGTGACCGCAATTGTGATACCCGATATCGTTCTGCGGGCAGTCCAAGATTGAAGCTTCGTTGCCTACACAATTCACTCCGTCCAGAAGGATAGGGACTGTGCCTTCGCCGAAATAGGCCTCTATCTTGATGCTAGAAGCTCCGGGGAAGCCCAACTGTCTGCACACTACATTGCCGTCTTCCTGCCCCCACATATCGTCGCATACCGTTCCCCATTCTCCGTTGGCAAAGACCTCAACTCGACCTTCATTGGCGGAGCTACCTCCGGCAAGTCGCACCACTGAAAGGGATATTTGCATTGAATATATAAAATGAAATAATTTTGCAATGGTCATTAAAAATGGCTAATAATTCGTCGCTGTTTTCACGAAGTGACGGTAGTGAAAAAAAATTGCATTCACTTTGCGTTACGATTTTCCTCACTACCGTCACTTCGTGAAAACAAGGACGAATTGTGCTTAATAATAATGCCACGTAAGCCATTATGACGTATCGCCACATAACACCACGTAAAACCAGATATCGCCACGTAACGTCACGTAAAGCCATGTAACGCAATGTATCACATGTAACAACGATAATCACATAACGACACGTAACACCACGTAACACAATTTCTTCCAACGTATTGTCACGTACTGGAACGTACTGGTATCTATATTTTATAAGCTGGGTAACATAACCTTCGTGTTTTTTTTAATAACGTTTAAATAAATGACAAGTGCGTGCAACAAATGTCCTATGAGCATTTACAAAGCTCTGTGTGACAAGATATATTTATTTATTTATTTATTTATTTATTCAGTTTTATTTAAAAACAGGGTAGTATTTTCAGTGCCAGAGGCCTGCTTTACAAAAGAGCCCTGTACAAAGATTTACAAAAAATAGAATACATTGTAAAAAAACAAAGGCATTATATAAACAAGATACCATAAGAGAGCTAAAACAACTTAAAAACTAGATCAAAATTAACATAAGGCCTGAACTATTAAACATTAAGATATTATTGATACAATACAAAATACAAATACCAAAAAAAAATACACATGCCATAAATAAATAACAGACATAAAATCAAAAGGGTAAAAGGTAAGAATAAAACTACTACAGACTACACAACTACAAACAAACAAAACAAACAAAACTAACTGTAATAAGTCATAATATAACATTAGGTACCAGTGCATGCATTAAAGTGGAGGGAGTGATTTAATTTGTTTTTTGAACATTTGGAGTGAAGTTGCCGTGCGAATATGAGTCGGTAGATTGTTATAGATGCTTGGAGCGACGAAAGAAAAAGATCGTTTTTTAAATTCAGTCTTAAGATATAGAAATACGAAGCATATTAAGCCTACATTTACGTCATCATGATTCTTTTTAGAACAAAACCGCCTTGGGATACCACCTCATATCTGAACAAGGTTTTGTGGCTAAAGAAGTAAGAGTATTTCTATAATTAGAATACTTCCTCCACAAAAAACAGAGCTTCTCCTTTTATATTGATAATACAACTTATTTTTCTTAGTAATTGACCTTAATATTGATTTAGTTATCCATGGCATACGAGGAACTTTATTATAATTCTTCTTTTTATATTCAACCAGAGGAACATTCTCACCATACAACAACATGAATTTATTAAAGAAACTATCAAAAGCACTTTCAACATTTTGGTCTGAAAGAACATCATTCCAATCAGTTGCAATTAATGCCTCTCTCAATTTGGCAATATTTTCAGGAGTTCCTTTACGGACAGACGTGCAACCTCTAGGCTCACAATTCAATTTCACCGAAGACAACATACAGTATACAGGAAAATGATCAGACATGTCAGATACTATAATTCCAGAGGGTGGATATGGTTGTACATTACAAAAAATATTGTCAATTAAAGTACTGGAAACTTCTGTTATTCTTGTTGGCTTAGTGATTAGGGGCATAATGAGAAAGACATTAACGTGTTTAGAAAAACATCAATTCGATTATCGTTATTACAAAGTAATAAATTCAAATTAAAGTCTCCCATAAGATAGAGTGACTTTCCAACTAAAAGTGGATTGTCTAAAATTGATTGAATTTCATTTACAAAATCATTAAAGTTACCATTTGGGGGCCTATATACAACTCCTATAAAATGATTCTTTTGACCAGGGTTATCAATCTCAACAAAGATAGTTTCTATATGATCTGACATTATATCAAGATCGTGATGTATCTGGTATTCTACCTGGGAAGGAATATACAAAGCAACACCTCCTCCACGTCTACTTTGTCTATTGTTGTTAACAAGATTAAAACCAGAAATAGAAAAAAGGATCCTATCGGCTTCACTCGTAAACCATGTCTCAGTGACACCAAGTATTACACGTCCTAGATTGATATTATCAATGAATCTTAACATTTTGTCAAAATTCTTACAAACACTACGCATGTTTATATGAAGAAAAGTTAAGCCACTGTTCGCATTTAGATGCTGTTTCAAAAAATTGATCTTCTGTATGATAATTACAATTAACATTAGGGATATCATAACCGTCACATAAATTGATCATATTGTCTTCATAAAATCTACAAATTTCATCATCCATTTGAGCCATATTGATACTGAATGTGCAACATTACATGAAAGTACTGTATAGTAGGTGGCTGGCAGTACAGAAAAACATGCAAGAAAGGAGAAAACGTGACCAAAAAAAACTGCATAAGGTGAAATAAACTCATATTCAGCAATTCATGTAGGGTACTGAGAAAAGGGGAAACGGGAAAAGGAAACTGCGATAGACTCGGAAATGGGGAATGAAGAGAAGGGCAATGAAAACAAGGAAAATTGTAACATCAAGCATAATGAAAAGAAAAAAAAGTATATAAGATACAAGATACAAAAAACAAAGCATGTCAACAAAGTACGATCCGTACATAAATAGCACACTTAAAACCAGACATGGTTATCTGACCATGGCAAGACAATGTAGTAACTAGTAAGTTCACTGTTAATTGTTCAAGTCTTCGAGAGAGTTGATTGTCCTTTTTAGTTCTTTGCCGTTTGTGGCAGGGACAAGGGCAATAACTCGCCATCCCTCGTCCACGCAGCCTTGACCTCTTTACTGTCTCGGGTCGCCTTCAGCAGCCTCGCGTTTTCTTTGGTCAAGTCCTCTTGAATCGACTTTCGTGTGCCGGTGTCATAGGCGATTTGTTCCGTGCAGGCGATCGGTTCCTCGGAACCGATCGCCTGGATATGTACCCGCCGATTTGTTCCGGATTCGTAGATTCGTTCCGCTAGTCACAGGCGATCGGTTCCGCCAGGCGATCCGTTCCGAATCTCATCGAGAGCGTGCGTGCTCACGTATTATTGAATACACGCCATGGTACAACCCTAAAGCAAAATGAACTATTCTGGTCGGCCTTTGCAACCAATCAACTTCTCCAAATTAGCTACACCAACGATTGCCAATTTGAGAACTTTGTATAGAAATGCAGATTCCGTTGTTCAAATTATGTTGATAATTGCGGCCAATGATTGACCACAAACATTAACTATAGACAGCGCCGTCGCAAAGCGACGGGGACTGGGTCGGGTCTAGCAAAAAGGGCAGTTGTTGCCATAGGCTTAGTTTGCCTGTAAAAGCAGATGTCGGGGTGTTTTCCTAATCAGGCCTTCTAATTTGGTTTGAATGCTGCTTTATATGATATCGTGTTACGTCAACCACCTATTACCGGGCTGATCATCACAGAATCTAATTATGCATGTGGGCTGCATGAATGATGTACATGTAGTTTAAATGAAAGAGATGCGGGTGGGGTGGGGGGGGGGGGGGGGGGGGGGGGGGGGGGCCGGGGTCCAACACAAAAAGAAATGAGTGGTCGAGCTGATAATTAAGAAGGACCAATAAAAAAATAAAAAAAGAAGAAAAGAAGAGAAAGAAAATTCCTCAAGTAAAAGACGTGTCCGGCAGAATAAAAAAAAAAGAAATAAAAGAAAAACCCGACATATTTTGTTGAATTTTCAACCCTTGGTACTATAGCCGACAAAAGTTAGTGTTAAACAGAGCCATAGCATAGTGTGTCTATACCCCCCCCCCCCCCATTCCGCTACATACAGTGGCAGATCTGTTGCGCCCCCTTTTTTGGAAACCACTAATTTCACGTACATTTTCACGTACATGTAGGCCTAATATCAGAAAACTATCGCCTGCCCCCCCCCCCCCCCCCCGTGCCGAGTATGCACGTGCGTGCATGCATATGATATACATGTACTCTATGCGCATATACTAGTCAGTAGGTTATTTATTTATTTATTTTTCGTACCGCGCGCGGGTAATTCCGTACGAGGTTCTAAACCTTCTTATTAAGTAATATTTCCAAAAAAATAATATTGGTTTTCATTCCAACAATAAATACAAAAGTATCAAGATAAAGCTAAATTTATTTTTACCATGTTTATTCGACACAAGTAATAAAAATATACGCGATTATATAGCAGAAACGTTCGGCCAATGTCGGATAAGAACGGCGGCTTTCGAACGTATCTGCGAACGAGTCGATCAGTAGATTCGTTCCCGAGGAACAAATCGGCGCGCCGATTTGTTCCGCGGAACCCGGAACAAATCGCCTACCACACCGGCAAGCTTACGTCTGCTGGCCAGAACTTCACTTCTCTTCCTGTAAGATTGGAATTTGACAATAGTTGAAGAATAGATACAGTGTATAACATCAATTAAGTTGTAGTTCAATTGGAAGGAAGTAACGAGGAATGTTAAAGCAAGGGAGACTGGGAGATGAGGAATGCAGGAAGTTAGAAATTGAGAGATTACTCGCGAGATTATGAGGCGCCGTTTGTAAAACAATTATATAGACAAATTATATGTTATATAATCATTATTTAACAAATAATAACCATTATTTACATATAATGCAAGAAAATGTACATTTTTATTTGTATATAATTCTTAACACATTTTTATTATTTATAAATAATGACAAAGAACGTTTCATTATTTATATATAATTGCCATTATTTATAAATAATTACAATTCACACTTTCATTATTTTATATAAAAAAAGCGTATTTCAATTATATAATATATAATGAAAAGCCACATTTCCATTATATAATATATAATGAAAGCCATTTCCATTATATAATATATAATGAAAAGCGTATTTTTCCATTATATAATAATAATGAAATGCACATTTCCATTATATAATATATAATGAACAGCGCATTTCCATTATATAACATATAATGAAAAGCGCATTTCAATTATATATATATTAAAAGCACATTTCCATTATATAATATATAATGAAAAG